AGTTTGAGGCCAGCCTGGTCTACAGAGCAAGTTCCAGGACTGCCAGAGCTAAACAAAGAAGCCTCATCTCGAACTACCCACCAATCTTTGTACTTTATTTTTTATATATGTGTCTGTGTTAGTGGATATCACACATGTCCAGGTGTCCTAAGAGGCCAGAAGAGGGCACTGGATGCCCCGGGGCTGCAGTTACAAGTTGCTATGGGTCGATCAATTTGGGTGCTGGAAAGGAAAAGGGTCCTCTGAAGAGAAGCAGTCCTATCCGTTCAGCCGCACTCTAGTCCCTAGAGCTACAGTCTTAAAGAGGACAACCAGGGGTTAGGGCGATGAGCCTAGCCAGCAAAGAGCTTGCCTTGCAAGCATGGGAACACCCGTAGGGTGGAAGGTGAGTTGAGCATGTGGCACTCTTACAACCCCAGTGCTCAGGAGGCAGACATACACAGATTCCTGGGGCTAACTGGCCCAGAAACAGCTTCCTTTCTCCAGCAAGCTCCAAGCTAGCATGACAAATCTCCAAAAAAATGATGGACAGTGCCTGAGGAATGATAGCCAAGGTTATTTTCTGGCCCCCATAGGCATGTTCATACACATACATGCACAAACACAGACATGTAAATATGCACGTGTACACACACACACACACACACACACACACAAACAGGTTCTGGCTATTTCTTCCTATACCCTAAGTGTGTATAGACTTACTGACAATTCCTCCTCCTTTCCACAGCTGGTGTCCTTCTCTTTTAAGTTTATTTCCAGTCTTCTAGATGATACCAGCAGTGGCGATTCCCAGGGTTAAATGAAACTAGGAGCCAGGAGACGGTGGTGCACACCTTTAATCCCAGCACTCAGGAGGCAAAGGCAGGCAGATCTGAGTTCAAGGCCACCCCGGGCTACACCGAGAAGCCCTGATTCACAAAAGCATAACATGCACTAGACCCACACGATCTGACAGATGCAGATGCCCACACCCTGGCATCTCCCCTCCCATCCAGCCAAGACAGCTGAGCGTGTGGCTCTATCTCCAGAGGAAATCTAGGTTTGGGTGAGCTGAGGGATGAAAGAAGGGCACGGTGAATGGTGGCTTTGTACAGAGTAAGAAAGGAGGAACTCAGTTCACGCAGTTCCTCCACCCAAACCTTTCAACAGTCTCACTGTGAGGCCAAGGCTGATCTTCAACTTGTTTTCCCTCTACCTCAGCTCCCAAGTGCAGGGACGACACGTGTGTACCGTCCACAAAATCACTTCTTTGATTTCTTAGGCACTCCCTTTCTTTAAAAAAAAAAAAAAATAGTCAAACTTAAATTTAGTTCCTTTCAATGGCCAAAAATTGTGAATCAGTAAAACTTTAGTGATTTCTGTTCTGTTTTGTTTGTTTTTGAGACAGGGTTTTTCTGTGTAGCCCTGGCTGGCCTTGAACTCACTGTATAGACCAGGCTGGCCTCCATCTTAAGAGATCCACCTGCCTCTGCCTCCCAAGTACTGGGATAAATTTTAGTGCCGCCATAAATTTTAGTCATTTTTAATTCTACTTCAATCACTCCTACATAAAAGGAGAGGAAGAGGAAGGACTGACCTTCTTAGGACCAGAACTTTGGGATGGCAAATGATAGGGGGAAACAGAAGAAGGCAAAAAAATCCCTATGTGTTGCTGGGCATGGGGCACACATCTGCAATGGTGGCCCTAGTAGGCTGAAGCAGAATGCCCAGAGTTACAGTGGGGCTAGTGAGTCTGAGCCTGGCCTGAGCTAGTCAGACTGTCCCAAAGAAACCAAGTTTGGTTTATTTGATGGGTGGGAAAGGAAGGGCAGGAATAATGGAGCTATGTATGGTGGCAAATGGGTAAAATCCCAGCATTTGGGAGGTGGAACTAGGAGAATCTCAACTTCCAAGCCAATGTGGTCTCTACATAAATACTGTACACACAAACCTGTCCACACACGTGCACAAATGCATGTCACTGGATGAGCTGGGCTCAGTGTGTTAAACCAACAGTGGATTATGACCATGTCAAGATGAGACGACTGTGGAAGAGCACTGACTAATCAGTGTAAATGGAACTCCGCTGCTGTTTTTAATGGTTTATTGTCAACCCAGAGAAGCACGTGAAGACCGACAGACATCACATTCCAATGATCTACATTGCGCATTGACATGTGACACAGATATTGGCAAGACAGCCTTCTGACCTCCACGCCTATGCCATGGCATACATACACTCCACCCACCCCCACACAAATCATTCACATACAATAAAAAGACTCTTTAAAAACATTACCTAATCAAGCTCCTTTCTCTAAGAGACACAACTGATGCTAAAAGGGAGATCTAAGCAAGCCACATGTACAGTGTACAAATCTCATGAGATCTCTTATTTGATAAACCAAAGATAATCAAAACCTTTTGAAGAGAAAAATGTCTTTTAGTTTCATTTTCTACCCAGGCATTAAAAAATTGCAGCCCCTCTCTTTCCGAGGACAATTAACACCATGTCAAATTAGGTCATTTCCAAGCAACTGCTTCAGGCAGACAATACCACCACACTATTCCTTCATGGTCAAGTCTAACTCCCATCATCTAACCAAGTCTCCTCGTAGTTACTAATCAGGCTCAGCTAAGCACATTATCAATTCTCTCAATCTCTCTTTCTACACACACACACACACACACACACACACACACACACACACACACACAAGCTCAATGTAATGTGTCCTTCCTTTCATAAATAAGAAATGAGAGGCACATAACTTTCAGACTTTGGAATTTGTATTGTCGTCAAGGCTCTCCAAACAGGAAACATGCATAGCAGCGATCAGGGCTTGTGTCACCAAGCAGTACCAGCAGCAATGTCAGACCCAAGGCAATGTGTGATATTTTAGATTAAATGTGTATATATTTTAGAGAATCTAAAGCCCGTCTTTAGAAATTCTAATGGTATTCCAAAGCCCCTACTCAAAGAGAAAGGGATTAGTAATCACAGCCCTACTTTTACTCGGTATGTCAAAGTGGACCAGGAATTGGCCTGTACACCTGAGAGGATGAGAGGTCACAAACTGGTGCCACTCACTTGACAGAGGAGAAAGCAGCAATTCTGACAGGCAACAGCTTGTGCAGGCCTCCTGATAAAAACCCATTCTGTGTAGGTTCTCTTGCAAAGTTGTTTGTTCTATACATGCCCGCGAGGCAAACTGACCCTGGGCAGAGACTTAGGGGCTTTTGTTTTTGAGGTCACGCTGTTCTTCGGGCTATGCCTCACCCTGGACGACTTTCATTTTACAGGCATCAGTGGGCTCCATTTGAGAACTAACATAGCAAGGCAATTCTGCATCTCTCTGTACACACAGACACCACATCTGCCCAGCACCACCCAGGAGGAAGACTGACAAACAACTCACTCTTCCCAAAGCAAAAAAGGTGCCACCCACAAACTGAAAAAGAAGATTGGGAATGTATGAGCACACTGACATATCAAAACTGAATCAGAGAAAGAACCCAGGCCCAGCAATTTATGGAACATACCAGAACAAGGTGTGACATTCCTTCACCTAGATTCCATAAAGAGGAGGACACCTATCTGAGCATGAGACCCATAACTCCTGGCTGTCCCTGGGGCTTCATGTCTGCTGTCACCCGAAGGTGATGCAGCATACTATCACTGCAGCCTCTCCGCCTTCATCAGTTGTCCACTGGCTCCCACAGTGTGTGTGTGTGTAACCTCATAATTATATTAACAAAGCTACTCCAGACCATCAAAGCCTTGATGGTCTCACACCTCACCTCTGCAGCCCTGTCCAACCCGGAGACCTTGTGGCTTGGCTGTGTGCCTCTAGCAGCCCAACTGGGTCCTTACTATTGACTCTAACTCCAGCAAGGGCTGTGTCTATCTTTATCTGCTCGGTTAGAACTCCTCTGTTAGAACCCCTGAACTCTTCTGGAGTCCTTTAACCCCTTTCTAGCCTACAAATACACATGTTTATATAAACTTACTGTGTCTGTTGTAAATTCTCAACTCTGCTGTAGCCTCTTTAATCCTTTTCTAACCTACAAATATACATGTTTACGGAAATAATTACTGTGTTGTGTGTAAAGAGTGATATGAAATATTCAGGCATAGTGCTCTTATAACACAGTCTCAAATAGCCTAAGCTGCCTCAAGCTCACTACAGAGGGGGTGTGACCTTGAACTCCTGATCCTCCACTGCCTCTACCTCCCAAGTGCTGGGGATTATAGGTGTGTGTCACTACCTCTGACTCTACAAACCACTGAGGAACTCAGCAACATTCTGGGTGTGTGTGTGTATGTGTGTATGTGTGTGTGTGTGTGTGTGTGTGTGTGTGTGTGTGTGTGTGTGTGTGTGTGTGTGTTTGTGTAACCTCATAATTATATTAACAAAGCTACTTCAGACCATCAAAGCTGCTAACATCCACAGTATACAAATTCCATCAATTGGAGAACCCTGATTATCCACCTTGAAATATCCATGGGCTATTTACAACAATGAGAATATTATGAGTTATGTTTAAAAATTATTTATTCATTCATTCTCTACCCTACTCTCTCTTTCCCTATACCTCCTTCATTACTTCACCCTAATGGTAGAGAACAGGAGCTGGGGAACATTTCCTATTACTAACTTAAAACTTTATTTACAAACACAGGTAGTAAGCCAGTGCACAGGCTTGCATTCTGCCAATGTTGGTTTGGAGCAAGTTGTTTTCAAGCTTTTCCTTACTCAGAATCACCTACATGACTGCTAACAAACAATTTCTGGAACCATCCCTAAAGTCTGTAGGTAGGTCTGTAGGAGACCCTGAGATTTTGCATTTTTAGTTAAGTTCCCAAGTAATGCTGATGCTACTGGTACAGAAATCCCACTCTGAAAAGTGCCTGTATAAAACAGTAATCTATACTACCCCCTCCCCCAGTGAAAGAGGAAACAGTATTGCAAACCTGACTGATACTTTTTTATGGAGTGTTTCACAGGAAGACTTACTGTTAAGTGCCATAATGTTATCTGTTCCTGGATGGTGGAAATTTATTCCCATGCGTCCTGGAAAAGAAAGCAATTTTATATTAAGCATAAATATACAAAAATTGTTCAATTAAATTATTTCAAATATACTTACAAAATATACATATTACAAAACACTACAGATTCATCTATAGCAGTGCTATCAAGGCCAAAGCATTTGCAACAACTTTTAAACCAATTCATAAAACACAGACATGAAAAAGTCTTAAAACAAAGCCAAAGTCTCAACACAAAATACAACCAAACAAAAAGAAGCTTCCATTATAGTCTGAAATTTGTACATCTCCCATATAAAATTTAAACAAGTCCATTTCCTAGATAAGCATTTTATTTAAACAATCATTTATTTATGCCCTTAAAATTAAGGCATAAAAAAAGAAATTTAGAGAAGTATATAAACATGAAGTTTAGAGATTAATAAAAAAGATAGTTTCATAATGCCTCAAAAAATGCAACATAATTACCAAAGTAGCAAAAGGAATAAAGATGGTAAATTTTATGCAAATAAAGTAAGGGAAAGACTGATAATGTAAGAATTTAAGAGTTCAAGTTGCCCTACGACTCCTTCTCTTTCAGGGATTTGGTTTGTATGGTGTTCATTTTCTTTTATGATTATGTGGCCCTGGCTGATCTGGAGCTCACCATGTATACCAGGCTGGCCTCTAGCTCACAGAAATCTGCCTCAAGAACTAGGATTAAAAACATGCACTACTATCCATGCCACCACTAAGTACTCTTATGATCTTGTGACAAATGTGACTTTCCAGAGTTTCATTCTTTATGAATAATATGACAATTGAAACTTCTGCCAACATTGGTTGGCTTCCTATTTGTGTATACCTCTGAGGTTAAGAACCATTTTTACATTTTTAATGGACTGGAAAACCAAAGCACAGCAAAGAGGTAACAGAGGCCTATGTCCAGAAAACCCTAACATATTCATTCTGTAGTCCTTCACAAAGTTTGAACCCTTGAGCTATAAGATAATAAATAGAATCGGACATTTCTACTGATGGCCCATAGGGATAAAGAGTAAAAGTGTATGTCGGGGGTGGGGTTGGGGGTGAGGGAGGTATTCCAGTTGGTGGATAGAGTGAGACTCAGGAGTACAGATGGGAAGATGCAGGGGTACAGAATGAAAGATGTAGGCATTTGCTGCTTTTTCCATTAGAGACAAAAAAGATGGATGTAAAAAATTAAACCCAATAGTCTTGTGTAGGAAGAAAATGTACTATGCAAGATTTCTTGACCAATTCAACAAAACAGTTATCAAAATCAGGTTTGGTGGCTCATCCCTTAATTACAGAACTTGGGAGACAAGAGAAATGTTGGAAATTCAGGATCAGTCTATAGTTAAAGAGTAAAACTCTGTTTCAAAAATCAAACACGAAAAGATATTGAAACAATAACTAGGATGTAAGTAATGTCTATGTATTTGACTCTGTTTTCATGTATAGTCACTTTGAGAGTTATGAAAATGTTAATTTTAAGAAAAATGTTAATTTTAAGACAAGTGCTTTACCATTTAGATATCCCTACAGCCCTAAAATTGTTCATTCTATTTTATAGCCAGTGCTTAAATAAATGTCAGTCATATTTGGGGAAAAATACCATAGGGAAAGCTGGAGATAAAGGTTTCTGATTTTCCCCCTACAACAGATACAGCTCTCTCTATATGCAATTGCACAAGAGCCAGTTTTCATTTGGTATTAAAGTCTGCTACTAAGAACTGGAGGCAAACATCATTGCCAAGCTCGAGACCACAGAAAAACAAAATAACTTAATGAAACTCAACCACTTGTATTGGAGAGAGAGAGAGAGAGAGAGAGAGAGAGAGAGAGAGAGAAAGAGAGCATGTGTGTGGTGTGTGTGTGTATGTAAGAATGGGAAAAATAAATGAAATCGTCAAGGAATAATAAAGGAAACACTCTTGAATATACAATTTCTGTAGAAAACTGTTTTCATATTACTAGGAGTTAAAGTGTCCCATTGTTGGAAGTTATTTGACATAACATACTTGTAGCTGTCCCACATGCCTTACTATGCTTTTCTAATTCCTAGGTCATTTCAGAGTCTCTGAGAGTCAAAGTCTCTGCCATCTGTAATACTGTCTCCTTTCACCACCTTAATGAAAACTACTTCACAAAAATGTGTCACCAGAACAAGGCCAGACTCAGTGAGAGAGTTTACATTCTGGTTTCAGTTAATTAAATCAATGTTCTTTAAAATTAACGTCCATGAACACTAAAAGTGATATCCATACTCTAGGGGTGTCAACCACAATAGCCAGTTGCTGGAAAGTCTACATAAAATCCCATTGAGACTTCAAACTCACTGTCCATTAGAACTTAAGGCAAGCTGATTCTCTTTTAGTTAGATGGAAGCACATACCTATAACCCATGTGTAGGAGGCAGAGGCAAAAAGATCCCAAGTTCAAGATCAGCCTGAGCTGCACAGTGAGGCCATCTCAAAACATAAACAACATCAAAAAGGAAGAGACAATGGTGCACAGGTGATCTCTGAATTCTACGCCACTCAGGGCTACAAAGCAAGATCTTACTTAAAACATAAAAAACAGGGCCTCTTCCATCTTTGGCCAATAAATATTCAGAGGACAGTATGGGTCCTTAAAAAGGACCAATGGTCCTCAATATTATTACAATAAGGGAAGGTTGTCAAGGACACTGAATAACCCAAACTTAGCTGCTTATCATTTAGCTTCACTTCCTGTAAACCAAATAAGGTTTCTATGTTTCTGGAATGCTGCCCTCACAGCCTCAGAACACTGGGCACAGCTACACAGCTCTTTCTTGAAGATCTAGAACATTTCACCTTGACAGGATGACCTTGAAAGGAAGTGGGCTACTTCCTAGTCATCGTCCTCCATCCTCACTCATGCACTTGCACCTCTGTCTGTCTTAAGAAGCAGAGCAGAAGGCTCCTATGGGGTCTTATAGGTGGCAGGCAGTGTTACTTAAAAAACAAAAACAAACAAAAAAACCAGCGTTTTTTAACCTTTCCTGGTCTTCTCCCTAATTTTTTTCAATGAATCTTTGGACATCCCCCATGGAGAGACACTCCCTTAACCTAGAGACAGGAGAGAAGTCCTAGTCCCTACTTCAAATAACTTGATAGATTTACATGACCCCACCTGGATGGCATAGCCCTACATGTGGAATAGGGGTGGGGGATGGTAGGGGAGGGTGGTCAGGGTGCATGTGAGGGGGGAAAGAGGTTAAGGAGGAGGGAGAGAGGGAGGGAGGGGGAACTGGGATCAACATGTAAAATAAAAAATTTTAAAAAATCAATGTAAATCTAATAAGGTGCTCTGAATCCCTAGAATTTATAACCTGATATAATCTAGGTTTCCTACTAATATAATGTTTTTGGTAAAATTAAATATGACTTTTTAGTTTATCTCTTCAAAAAGTGGGGTTTAGAGAGTAAGTGCCATTTATTTTCACTGACTATGATTAGAATATATAAAAAATAAAGTCATTAAAGACAAACACAGTTTTACTTATACTTTTCAATGAAAAGAATATGCATGAAGCCTTCCTTCCTAAGATTGTGATCATTTTATACTTTTTTTTCTTTAATGCAATATGCACCTAAACTTTAATACTTATTACAGGATTTTGGAAGAGAGAGAAAGCATGTAGTGGCAAAAGAATCCCTGATGCTAAATTCAGAGGAGGCCGTTTCTTTTTGCTTCCTTTGTCCAATAAATGCTGCTGTTGGATCAGCTGTGAAAACAGGACTAAGCGTGTGACATCTGGTGATTTTGTTACTGCAGTCTGGTGCTGCCAATGTGACATCTGTCACCTGTCCGTGAGTCTGCTATTTTTAAAGTGTTCTTGTCAGCTAGCTATCGTTCAAGTACAGTGTAAAATACAAGGTTTCAAAGGCTGGAAGGCATCCTTGGTCTTCCTACATTAAACGATGCAGTGGGGAGCTCAGAACACCCCCACTTTGTCTACGTCACAGGTAGGAGTTAGAAGATGGAGACACAGGGTAGAGAATGGAATTATGTTTGTTTATTTAGGATGGGAAAAAAAATCACATCTTCATAAACCCCATTCATATTTTTAAAATCTGCCTTGTAGTTATTCAAATTTCAGAGCCCAAATAAACCCATACTTTTGTGTATTCAAAATAAAAACTGGATTTCTATTAACTTATAATCAGCACCAAAGCCAGCTCTTCAGCACACTGACAAACCTTCATCTAATCACCTGATTAAACAAAAGGTCAAAGCAGCTTCAAAGAGAATGTCAGTGCTTTGCTCAAGAAAATAGTCCAAATTTTACCATTTTCTCTAAAAACTTAGAGATCCACTCCTAGAGAAACAGTGAAGTCGAGTGTGGTGGACATGCCTGTAATACCTGGTCTCACAAGGTGAGGCTGCAGAATCTTGAGTTTAAGACCAGCTTGGCTCCACAGCAAGACCCTGTTCTCAAAACAACACAAGTTGTGCTGTGAACTCTTCATGTACATATAAATATTATTTTTTAAAAGCTAAATTACTTTTTATGGCAATGGTAAAATCTGGTACTATAGTGTAATGTTATAGCTCTGTTTCAAATAACCCATAAACAAAACTGTGAGCTCAGAACTAAAGTCCACGGACAATTTTGGACAAGGGTTTTTTATTGTTGTTGTTTGTTTTCTGCTTCTGTTTCTCTTTCTCCTGGGAGGGACAGGCTGTACTGTAGGCTTCAGTCACACCCTCCATAGCAACTGGGGCCACAGGCATGCTTGCCATTGCATCACGACTGCCATAAATTCTTAAATCCTTTGCACTCATTTTCTTGGTTAAGGCTGCAACTCAACTGAATTAGAATTTCAGATGTTAGTACCCAGGTATAATCTTCCTTTTATAACTGTTAGATGAAAGTGACGTATCTTAGATTCAGTCAGGCAAAGTAGCAGACAGAGGAAGGTGGGACAGGAGGACCTCTTACATGCAGGGGTGCTGGGGCTCAGGGCTGGCCTGGGTGACCTCTTACAAGCAGGG